TCTAGGGAGGGGGCGGTGGGTCCGCCAGCCAGGCTCATCAGCTTCTTTGTCATGTAGCCAAAACCTGCAGGGGTAAAGCCCAAGGGGATTTGTCAGCCTCCCTGCCCCAAAACGCTGGGGTTCTGCCCCAAAACTCATCCCCAAGCTGCCACCCCTGTGCCATGTCCCTAACATGGGTGGCCGGCAGGAAAAACCCGCCCCGAGCCACCTCCTTACATTTAGCAGAGACTTTGTAGCCACCCAGGGGTGGGGGGTGGCCATCGGCTGCGTCGAAGCCAGCAGACACCAGCACCACGTCGGGGGAGAATTCGTGTGCAATCGGCATCACCACCGTCCTGCGCGGGTAAAAACACAAATAAAAGGCGCTGAGTGCTGGCTTGGCCTTGATGTGAGGGGAAGAGACGAGCAGAAACGCAGGGATCTGTACCTGAAAGCTGCCAGGTACTCGGGGTCCCCCATGGGGGGGTCAAGGCCTCCAGTCCAGGCTACGTTGACGTTAAATCCCTCCCCAGGGCCAGCGCCAACCTGTGAGAGAGCGAGGACAGCGGTGACGGCCTGGATGTGGTCCGCAGGGACACGGGGACAGTGCCCTGAGCGGGCTCCATCACTACCAAGCTGCGGGAAGGCAGAACTAGGGGTCCTGAACCCCCTGCCCTGTGGAGCTCATAGGGTTTGCAAAGCTTTTCCTGGCATTTCTTGGAGCCTTGTGGCCATCGGTCCCCGTCCTCAGAGCCCTGCGCTGCTGGCGGCCACCGTGGCCACCAGCTTTGTCCCCAGGGCAGAGCCACTCACACTTTGCAGCCCTGTCCCTGCTTTTTACCTCGTCGGCAGCCCCGCTGCCAGGGAAGAAATTGCCATCGTCGTGACGGTGCAAAGAGATGTAGAGGACGTCGGGGTCTCTGTAGAAGATCTGCTGGGTCCCATTGCCGTGGTGAACATCCTAGGGGGAGAAAAATCGGGAAATTGTGCTTTATTTCAGCAGTGAGGGTGGCCCAAAAGCCTAAAGGAGAGAAAAGCAACGGGGTCTCTACACTGCCTCACACACCAGGACCCCCCTAGTGGTGCCCAAATGAGGTTTTGGTGCTCCAGCTCCAGACCAGAGCTGGGAGAAGGACACCTGCTGTAGAATTTTGGTCTGCTATCCAAAAAAGATGCAGACAGGTTGAAAGGGTCCAGGGAAGGACCACGAGGATGCTCGGAGGACTGGAAGAGCTGAGAAAACTGGGCCTGTTCAGCCTTGGGAAGAGAAGGCTCAGGGGGGACCTTATCATCATGGAGCAGGGCATAAAGGGTGGCACCAAGAGGATGGAGACTCCTTTAACAAGGAGTCACGGGGAGAAGATGAGGGGTGATGGACACAAGTTGTGTCTGGAGAGATCCACATTGAACTCCAGAAGAGATTTTGTTACCATGAGATCAATCAGACATTGGAATAATCCATCAATGAGATACTGGAATAATCCATTAATTAGAAATGGGAATCACCTATCAATGATATATTGGAATAATCTATCAACAAGATATTGGAATAATCCATTAATTAGAAATGGGAATAATCCATCCATTAGAAATTGGAATAATCTATCCATTAGATATTGGAATAATCTATCAATTAGACATTGGAATCACCTATTAGAAATGGGAAGAATCTCAATAAGAAATGGGAATAATCTCCCATGGGAAGTGGTGAATTCCCCTACACTGGTCAGTTTTAGGACTCATCTTGACAGGGCACTGCCTCATCTCATTTAAACTCTACCTTTACCTTGAGAGGTTGGACTGATGATCCTTGTGGTCCCTTCCAACCTGGTATTGTATGATTCTATGATTATATGACTATATGACCTATATGATTCTATGATTCTGTGACCTGGGGATAGCAGGGACATGCTGGGGACAGCAGGGACACTTACCCAGTCCACAATGAGGATCTTGCTGAGCTTCCCTTTCTGCTGCAGCTGCCTGGCAGCAATGGCCACCGAGTTAAAGAAGCAAAATCCCCTGCAAAGAGGGAGCTGGTTAACGCTGGGGCCCTTCTTGAGCACCCTTTCCTGCTCCCCAAAGGGTGGGCTGTCCCCTCTCCCTCCAGCCCGGGCACGGATGGGTCCTGGGGGAGGTGACTCTGGAGCCATCAGGGACTTTGAGGCAAGGAGCCGGTTTTTGGGGCTCAAAGCCCCGTCGCTAGGGAAGGGGTCCTTACATGGCAGTGGAGGGATCCGCGTGGTGTCCGGGCGGCCGCACCACAGCGAAGCCGTTCTGGGGACAAAAGAGAAGCGAGGGGTTGGTCCTGTCCCATGGGGACGCAGCAGCACCTGATGCTGGGTGGCGAGATCCACCCCCAGCCCCATTTTTTCCCATCCATGGGGTGATGCACAGCTCCGAGACCCCCACACGAAGGCCCCCCTTACCTTCAGCTCCCTGGTGGCCACCTTGAAGGCCAGCTCGGTGACGCTGCCGGCGGCCCAGCGGGCAGCGTTGGAGGAGTGCAGCTCGTTCCAGATGGTATCGCTGTCCACCTGGGAGCAAGGGATGGGTCACAGGTGGACAGGGCACCCATGGAGGAGATCTCAGCCACCAGACCCCCATGCTCACTGCCAGGGGTTCGAGTCCCGTGCAGGGCGAAGGGCACCACGGAGCTGGGCCACCTCGCACGCAATGGGGCGAGCTCCCAGCTCCTTCACCTGCTGTCAGCCCCCGCCAAGCTCCACACAGAGCATCTCCCCCTGCACCCCAGGGGGCTGGAAGGAGTCGACTGCGAAAACGCTCGTTTACCTTCTTTATCTTATTTTATCGCTTAACCAAACATCTTGGTTTGATCAGGATCGCGTCAAGGGCCGAGCCAGAGGCGGAAAACTCAAGTCTCTTCTGATCAACTCCATGTGTGCAACTCAAAGGCTCCCCTCTGCCCACTGAGAGGGGCAGCTCCAGCCTCCCCCCTGCCTTTGGGGCACGGGCGAGAGGAGGGCAGGGAGGGGGAGGCAGAGCGGGGAAAGTGGATGCAAACGGGGCTGAGAGGAGCTGGTGCCCAGCAGCGGGGGCAAGGAGAGGAGGAGAACCAGAAGAAGCAGCAGGAAGGCATGGAGTGAGGCCCTTCCTGCAAGAGAGAGAGAGAAGGACAGAGACAGGGGGGAGAGGAAGAGAGGAGAAGGCAGTGAATGGAGAGAAACCAGGGCGGCAAGCTGCGAAAGGAGAGGTCTGGAGGGACACCCATGACACCGCTCCCCACCCTCAGTGGAGATCACAGCGACCTCTAATCATTAGGAATGGCTGTGAGGGGCTTTGGGTTGCTGGGTCCCTGGGTTAACGGGGCACAAAGGGTCTCCTTTCAAAGAGGGGGAAGTTTAGGAGCATCCCAAGGACAGGGGGAAGCTCTGATACAGCAACATCGTGCTCACAGATGGAGCACTTCCACCCTGGCAGCCCAAAAGGCTTCGGGAGCTCCCTCTCCACTCAAGCCCACTTGAAAACCCTTGCTGGGGACAGGAAAAAGGGACAAATCCCATCCAAAACAGGGCAAAAGCAGAGACGGAGCACTCACCCCCACCCCTCCGCAGGGCAGCATGACGAACATCCTCTGAGACAGGATCCCTGCAGAGAGAGGGGACAGCGAGGACTTCAGCGCTGGGAAACTGGGAATGGGGGGGACAGGGTGCATGGCACAGGGTTTGGTCTGGCCACAATTAGGACCAGGGGAGCCCCAGGCCCCGGTGTGGACCACTGGGATGGGCAGAAGGTGAGGAGGGAATGGTGTGGACATGGACTCACCCGCCAGCTTCCCGTTGTCCAGCTTCAGGCGGTTGAGGGGATTGGTGCCATAGAGGAAGACGTGGCGCTCGGTGTGGACGCACTGCAGCTCCTCCAGCGTGGCCTTGCGTCCCCGCAGACACTGTGGCACACAGGGGCTGTGACCGAGCCGCTCCGGGTGGGTGACACCGGCGCTGCCACCCACGTGTGTGTCAGCATCCGTGGGTGGAGGTGACACGACCGGGGACAGCCACAGCTCGGGTCACTGCGGCTGGGGAGGCAGCTGAGAGGCTGAGCACTGCGCTGCTTGCATTGGGTTTGAACCCAATGGTGGGTGAGCACCCACCTCGTCTGAACATGAGCACCCACCTCATGTGAACCCAAGCACCTACCTCATGTGAATTTGAGATCCCCCTCGTCTGAATGTGAGCACCCACCTCATCTGAACTTGAGCACGCACCTCATCCAAATCTGAGCACTCATCTCATCTGAATTTGAGCACCCACCTTGTCTGAACCTGAGCACCCACCTCATGTGAACCCAAGCACCCACCTCATCTGAATTTGAGCACCCACCTCATGTGAACCCAAGCACCCACCTCATCTGAATTTGAGCACCCACCTCATGTGAACCCAAGAACCCACCTCGTCTGAATTTGAGCACCCATCTCATCTGAACATGAGCACCCATCTCCTCTGAATGTGAGCACCCACCTCATCCAAATTTGAGCACCCACCTCATGTGAACCCAAGAACCCACCTCGTCTGAATTTGAGCCCCCATCTCATCTGAACAGGAGCACCCATCTCCTCTGAATGTGAGCACCCACCTCATCCGAATTTGAGCACCCACCTTGTCTGAATTTGAGCACCTACCTCATCTGAACATGAGCACCCATCTCCTCTGAATGTGAGCACCCACCGCGTCTGAACTTGAGCACCCACCTCATCCAAATTTGAGCACTCATCTGACTTTGAGCACCCACCTTGTCTGAACCTGAGCACCCACCTCATGTGAACCCAAGCACCCACCTCATCTGAACATGAGCACCCATCTCCTCTGAATGTGAGCACCCACCTCATCCAAATTTGAGCACTCATCTGACTTTGAGCACCCACCTTGTCTGAATTTGAGCACCTACCTCATCTGAACATGAGCACCCATCTCCTCTGAATGTGAGCACCCACCTCGTCTGAATTTGAGCACCCACCTCATGTAAACCCAAGCACCCGTCTCATCTGAATGTGAGCACCCACCTCGTCTGAATTTGAGCACCCACCCCACCTGAATCTGAGCACCCACCTCGTCTGAACCCAAGCACCCACCTCATCTGAATGTGAGCACCCACCTCATGTGATCCCAAGCACCCTCATCTGAATTTGAGCACCCACCTCATGTGAATCCAAGCACCCACCTTGTCTGAACCTGAGCACCCACCTCATGTGAACCCAAGCACCCTCCTCATCTGAATTTGAGCACCCACCTCATGTGAATTTGAGCACCCACCTCGTCTGACCCCAAGCCCCCTCCCCACTATCGGTGCTCACCTCGCACTGGCTGCGGAGCCCCCTCTCCTGCAGCCGGGACCAGATGCTCTGGATTCTGCCCGCGTGCTCGGGGTGGTTGCTGTTGTCGCCGCAGGAGCACTGGTGTTTGAGCATCACCGAGTCGTAAACCAGCCCTGCAATGCACCAGGAGAGCTGCTGTCCTCACCCTGGACTGGACACACAAACGCTGACCCTAATTCAGCTCAGTTTTGGGGGCTGGCCTGGGCTCTAAATGCCTGTAATTATTTGGTTTGACTAAAACACCTCCCTCAAACCTTGGGATCCTTCGTCCCAAAATGCTCAAAGCAAATCTGTCTTGAATGTATAAGAAAGCAAAGCACGGCCAGCACGGCTGGACCAGGATGGCAGCCAAGGGGCCAGAGGGGCAAGTCCTGCTTGGAAAAGCCACCTTAGACAAGGAAAAGGGGCCTCTCATGGCTTGTTCTGCTATTTTGCAGCAGGTAAGACCACTCCTGAGCATTTAAGAGTCTGGGAGTGACTGGGACTGATGCTAAGGAGCCCCTGTGCATCCCCACCTCCCCTCCAGCTCCTGTCCCTGTACCTGTTGTGAAGTGTGGCTTGGCCGGCTGCTCCTGCACGGGCAGGGAGAGGCTTTTGGAGGCCGTGTCCTGGGCAGGGAGAGAGATGGTGGCGGTGGCGGGAGATGACTGAGCCCTGGAGAGAGGCCTGTGCCCCCCGTGGATGGCGGGGACCATGGAGGAGTCGGCCAAGGGCGGTCGCTTGAGGAGCTGCTGCTGCGCGCGCTGGTAGGAATCCCAGAGGTAGGCCTGGTGGAGAGAGGTGGTGGTGAGCACAGCACCCGGAGCTGAGCACCCAGGAGGGGAGAGCAGCATCACCCACCCCAGGGAAGGAGCCCTGCACCCTCCCAGGGTCTGGATACGACAGCTCCCTCCATGCTGGGGGGCTCGGGGTTGGTTTGCAGCAGCTGGGAGAGGACACAGAGCATCTGCTGCTCTCTGCTGGCTCAGCCCCGCAGCGCTGGGCAGCCCTGCTGCGAGGTGCAGCACTTTGGGACAATACCCAGCAATTTGGGGACAATACCCAGCGATTTGGGGATGATACCCAGCGATTTGGGGATGATACCCAGCAATCTGGAGATAATACCCAGCAATTTGGGGATGATGCTCTGCAATTTGGGGATGATACCCAGCAATTTGAGACCACCACCCAGAGATCTGGGGATGATTCCCAGCGATCTAGGGATGATACCCAGTGATTTGGGGATACCCAGCAACTTGGGGATGATACCCAGATACCAAATTGCAGGGCAGGGTACTCTGCATGCTGGCTTTAACCCCCCTCCGAAGGCTCTACACAGCTTGAGACAGGCAGAGAATCCATCGTCCCTTTTGCCCATGGGCTCCTGGTGCCCAAAAAGCTGCCTGGCCCTCTCCCCAGGGCTCTCCCATCCCAGCTCTCAGGTACCTGCTGCAAGACCAGCTCCTCTTGAGGCTGCAGCATCTTCTGCGTCCTCTCGGGCTCCTTGACGCCGCTCCCCGGCCGGGTGGGCTCCAGGCGCGCCCTCGCCGCGTCACTGTTGTCAGCGCCGGCCTCCGGGAGCGCCCCCTCGGCCTCCATGTCCTCCGAGGAGGGGATCTGCCGCAGACGGGGCTTCTCACTGGATTTAGCCATGCGCTGCAGCAGGAGGGGGTCACAGTGAGCACAGGGAGGTGGCAGGGGACAAGGACAGACCGAGAAGGTCATGGAGGGGTGGCAGAGCATCTCGGGGCAGGACCACGATGGATGTGGGAGCCAAGGGAGAGAGCAGGAACCCTCAGTTTGCTGCTATGAGGCTGGGCAAGGCAGCATCTCGCATTGCCTGGTGTCTGCCACTGCCCAGCAGGATGGGATGCCATCCTGCACCCTTCCAGGACCTGTCTCCCATTGCCTCCCATTGCCCTCCATGGCTTACCTTGCCCAGATGCGTCTGCTGCTTGAGCCTCTCCAGGAACTGGGTGTGATGCTGCTGGTACACCAGTTGCTGCTGGATGACCTTGGGGTTTTGGGGCAGGGGCTCTGAGCGGGTCCTGCCCAGCGGTTTATGGTGGCCCGGCAGCGACAGGCGCTCTGCAGAGATGAGCGAGGGGGCGAAGGAGAAGGGGACCGTCCCCAGGCCAGGCACTGCAGGGGAGATGAAGGAGAGGTGAGGGGTAGGCGAGGGGGTCTCCTCCTTCTGTGCCCATCACCTTGGCATTGCACAGCCCACAGGGGCCTGGGGATGGGATCTGGCTAATCTCAACCATTCCCAAGGCCCCAGCTCACAGAAAAGTAACAGAAAAAAACTCAAGACTGCTGAGTTTTACCCAAAAAACCCCTCAGCGAACCTTCACACCGAGCCCTGCCTCAGTGCCTGTCCCCAAGCTCGACACTTACCCGCCACCAGTGGAGCGTGGGTGACCGAGGGCTCGAGGATGGGAGCCGAGGGGACAGGGGGCTCCCAGCCTCGTGTTGCTCCAAGCCCGTGGGGATGAACATGGGCGAGTGGGTGCCCGCGAGGACAGGCCCGTTCAGCACAGGCACCCGGTGTGCCAGGCTGGAGATGGGGCGGCGATCAGCCTCTCCCTGCAAAGAGGAGGAGGATACCTGTGTTAGCAACCTGCCAGGACCCAGCACATCCTTTCCATGCCCATAGGAATGCTCAGTGCGCACCTAGCATCACCCTGGGATGCCCAGACTCAAAGGAAAGGGCTTCCTCACTCAAGTCTGTGATTCCCCTGCCCCACAGGGACTTTTCTGCCCATTTCTGGGGCTGCCTATGACCTGGCTACCTACCCTGGCGCTAGTGGTAGCCGGCAAGCCCAGCGTGATGGCCGGAAGGGAGGCAGCGCTCTGCAGGGCAAACTGGGCCAGGGAGCTCTCCTGCATCATCAGGCGCTGGGCCAGGGGTGTCTGCAGCAAACACAATCCGTTAATTTGTTAATTTGTTAATTGTCTCCTGCTCCAGCAGTGGCAGGGGGTGACTGAGCCCTGGCTGCCTGGGGGAATGCTTGGGACCAGGGCGAGGGTCATTGGGGACAGCACAGTGACCATAGGGGACAAGAAACGCAGGCTGCGATAGAGGGCAGAGCATCAGGAGCAGCATTGGGCTGTGTAAGTTTGCAGTCAGGTTGGAGATGACACTAAACTGGGTGGCACTGTTGATCTGTTAAGGGTAGGAAGGCTCTGC